GGAAGATCTTTATATCTCCATAGCTACCTACATAGTCTTCCCGGCACCAAAGAGAAACTGTGGGAAACAAAGATATATTTGCGTCTGCAAAGAAACTGCCAAATCTGTACTGATGAGTAATAAATGTTACAAATAATTGGGTCTGGTGAACAAAAGGGCTGGTATCCAACCCTACCCTTTTTTTTTTTTCTTTTTTTGGAGAGGTTTTTGCTATAGGGCATGTGCGCTTGCCAGACACACAGAGAGAGACAGAGAGATAGAAAGCGAGAAATCATCCCCCAGAGGGGATGGCCACGCCACAATCCCTTCTCCTCCATTCTCCTCTCGGGATATTGGGCACGCACGCACGCACACACGCCCGGCGTGAGTTTAAGCCACTGGGTCCAGGACTAGAACCGCAATCGACTACATGGGAGTCCAGTGACATAGCCATTACACTAACTGCTGGTCCCTCTACCCCATTCTTGTAAGAAGTAGCAATAAGCCTGTGCTTACTTTCATCTGTGATGGTTTCTAGCTTTTGGGAGAAGTTCTGGAGAAACCAAAACTTCTTGCAGCTATCACTTCCTCACTGCCACATGAGCCAGTACAACCTTACTTCTTTACATGATAGGAACTTGTCATGTGAACCCATTCCATCATTTGGCATACTTGTCACAGCAACTATCTAGGAATATTATTTCTTCTTTAAAATGTTTTTTTTTCTTTATTTATAATAGGGTATGTATATGCACACATGAGAGACTAGAGGGATGAGCATCCTCCACAGGATTTCTCACATGCTGCAATCTCCTTCCTCCAGTCTGATGATCCTCCACAAACATGTGTGCCAGCATGTTTATGGTGGACCAGTCCGGGGATTTGAACAACAGTCACCATGTGGGATCTGATTTCTCTTGAGTAGCACTACACCACTGCACCATGGAGCTGGCACCTGTGATCTATTATTTCTTTAACAAGCTGAGGCTATTTCTACACTTTTGCTTACATATCTCCTTGGCCTGGAATCTCCACCTCTCAGCTGCTTTAACTAAACTGCAGCCTCCCTCTTGGAATGGTCTATACAAGTCCCATCTCCTACAAGGACATTTGCCCATATTTATTTGGCATTAGCACTATGATATCTTCAACTGTCCTCATACTCATTTTTTAAAACATACACCCTGCCTTCCAATTAAAAATATAACTTCCTTGATGTTAAAGATGCTGTTGTAAACTTATAGATCTCTAAGACCTACAGGAGTTCTTTGCATAAAAACTCCTCTCAGAGTTACTGGTAATAGGTTCTGCCTGTGTTAATAGCTAGTGCTTACTGATTATTTATCATGTGTCAAGAGCAACTCTAAACACTTAAGAGAGCATAGCTCAGTTAATACTGCTGTTCTCCCACTTTTAGAAAAGGAAACAAAACTGAGTGGGGAAGTACCCTGCCTAAAGCTGTCAGTCTAAAAGGACTGAGAGGACACAAACACCCCAGCCTGTGACATTTCTTCCCTTGTCACAGATGATCAATTTCTGCTTTCCTACCATCTCAGAATTTTTTGACTCTTGTAACAGAAGACCACAAACTGGGTAACTTAATGAAGAACTGAAAGTTATTTCCTCACAGTTCTGGAGGCTGAGAAGTGTAAGTTCAAGATGTTGGTACCTGGTGAAGGCTTTCTTGCTCCTGTCATCTCAGGGTGGAAGATGAGAGGGTAAGAGAAAGAAAGCAAAAGTAGGTGAAATAGATCCTTTTAAAGAAAACTGCTTCTGTTGCCAGCAGGTGGCATGGTGGTTAAGGCACTTAATTTCCACAGGGCTGACTGACTATAGCTTGAGTATGGACACTGTGGCTTGAAAATCATACTAGGCAGGAGTGCGTGCATGCCCAACATCCTGAGAGGAGAGTGGAGAAGGAACTGCAGCATGGCCATTCCTCCCCCCACCCTCTACAGTGATTTCTCACTTTCCCTTTCTCTGTCTCTAGTAAGCACACATACTCTAGGGCAAAAGCGTAATGAAAAAGAGGAGAAGAGAGGGGAGGAGAAATGGGAAGAGAAAGGATTATGGCATGGCCATCTTTCTTGGGGGGTGTTTCTCACTATCCCTCTCTCTGGTAAGCATAGGTACTTCATAGAGAACTAAAAAAAAAAAAAAGTTCAATTTGTTATTAACTGAGTTGTTCATAAAAACGGACATGGCAATTCTAATCTATCTACAGGAACAGAACGCATCTTCTGAGATGGCAGAAGTGGGGGGAGTACGAGCACTGCAACCTGTTGTGTGACTTCAGAACACCAGATATTGCCACTAATAATCAACAGAGCGCACAGGAAGAGTAAAGAGGGTAGTAAAGGCATACAGTGCTGTCCCAAGGGCATAAGAGTTTCCGAGAAATGCTGGCTTTCTGTGTGTCAATGGACAGAGGCCAATATTAGCACTACCTCGCATTTCCGCATATTTCTACCCTCCATGCCACTTGCTATCACATCCATCTAACTATAACTACACTGTAATCCTGGTTAAGTTCTTTTGAGAGAGGCTCTAAACTTTTCATTGGCTCTCTACACCCCCAAATGCCTTAAAATGGCCTCTTCCCCTTTTTGACTCAGGTTCTTCCTACCCCTTTCTCCTTCTAACTTCTAAACTCAGCTTCCAAAGAGCCTATTTCTTCCACAGTCATCCTAGTCATCACTCTCTCCTCTGAACCCACAGACTAACTGTGGAGGCCTTGGAATCTGTTCTATGCCTAAATAATACAAGGTTAGCTGAATACAATTCTAATCTCTCCACTAAAAAGTAAACTTCTTGAAGTAGGGTATTTTAGTCATTTTTATATCTGTCATAGCATACAATGCTTTATGTGCAGCAATAAAAGCTAACATTTATAGATAAGTGACATGTCAAACACTATTCTAAATGTAGTCTCCCCATTTTACAAAACAGTTAACTGAGACTCAATGAGGTTAAATAATCTTTTTTTTGGAAAGGTTTTTGTTTTTTTTTTTTTTTTGCTACAGGGCACATGCATTCACCAGAGAGAGACAGAGAGACAGAAAGTGAGAAATCACCCCTCAGTGGGGATGGCCACGCCACAATCCCTTCTCCTTCATTCTCCTCCTGAGATCGTGGACGCACACACCCCCAGCGTGAGTTTAAGCCACCAGGTCCAGGACTCGAACCATGGTCGACTAGGTGGGAGTGCAGCGACATAGCCATTATGCCAACTGCTGGTCCCGAAAAGCAAGTTCCACTGGGAACTGACAGAGCTTGTGTTTTGCTATAGAGTGTGCATGCTCACCAGAGAAAGAGAGAGAGAGAAAGTGAGATATCACACTCCGGGGGTGGGGGGGTGGATGGCCATGCCACAATCCCTTCTCTTCCAGTCTCCTCTTGGGATTTTGAGCACAGGTACCTAGAGTGATTTTCAAATTGCTGGGTTCAGAACTCACACTGCACTTCTGGCACTGTGAAACCTAGTGCCTTAACCCTCATGCCACCTGCTGGCCCCAGGGCCCACATTTTTAACCACCATGCTATCTCCCATGTTCAGTAAATTACATTAGCTAATTTATCTCAAAGAGCTTTAAAAATTATGAAGAACAACAAGCCCAACAAATTCAAACAAAACAGTTCTGTGATATCATCTGGGAAAGGAGGGAGAACATTAATGCCTGAAGGTTAGGTTTATAATCAGACCAGAGTCTGAATACCAGCTGCTTCATTTTCTAGCTCCAGGCAAGTCACTAATCTTTTTCAGCATCAACCTTTGTATTTGTAAGATTAAACAATTTGTTAGCATCACTGTGAGAATTAGGTGTGATTACACAGGTAGAGCACCAATAACATGCCTCCTACAGAGTATACAGTCAGTAAATGTTAGCTCCCAAACAAAATCTAATTGCAATACTACAGAGATTGTCTTTGCTAAATTAGCCAATAATTATAAAACAGTATTAAACAGTAACCACAGCATATTTCTGTTACTTTGAGACAATATACAGACATGACTTTACCAATTTTTTTTTACACCCCAGGCTTATAAAACAGGCAAGTAATAATCATCTCTAATGTGAGACAATAAAGGTAAAGAAAGAGCCCTGCCTCCAGGCATAAAACTAAAGCAGCTGTTGAAGTGCCTTTGACTCATTAAAGCAAATACAAAGTAAACATCAGCAGGGGGAAAATTCCCAAAGAAGTTTATTACTGACATGCTCAAGTGTATCCAAATGTATGGGGGTTCTAGAAGGCTTATAAAGGACCCCACGGGCTGAGAATGGGAATATATGCCACAGTCTTACCAGAGGGTTGTTGGAGAATCAGGTTTGTGTATATACAACAGATTAGTTTCAGCTCCAGGTTCAAGGAAGAGGGATTGGAATAGGCTCTCCTGGGCAGTTGTAAACCCATCCATAGAGGATGTTCAAGCCCTAGCCATGAGATAAGGGGCAGGGAAAATTGCCTACCTAACGATTACGTCGGAGGTCCCTTCCTATCTTGTAAGTGGGACAGAGGAAAAAAGGAAAGGCAGACACTGCTCGGAATAAGGCTATATCCAGATTTTAACAATTGGGCGAGGGGAGGGGAGACGGAGTGAAATGTAATCGGTGGGGAAACGTGCATTGGGGGATCGGAAAGATGACATTTCTGCAAAATGCCTCCAGGGATCTGAGATTCGGTGGCTCTCAGGACTTAACCTGCGAATGACATCTTGAATTCGCGACTGTGACTCCGCGCAAAGTGCTTGCTCCACACCAGAAAAGCGTCTAGAGAAGCCTCCAGCCCTCTTTTAAAAGAAGCTTAAGGCCTGCTCTGTCAGAGACCTGGAGGAGAGTTGGGGTAGGAGTCTGTCCGCGGGTCCGAGATGACCGACCAGGCGGAAAGAAGGAGGCACTTGCCCAGGACGCGGAAGGGCTCAGGTGGGCGTCTGGGCCCGTTAGGAGGACGTCCTGCCGGCGGCAACGGTGGAGGACAAGATAGCCCCGGGGCCCAAGGACACCAGACATAGACGTACTCACCAGCCCGCAGCCGCGGAGCAAGCGGAGCGCTGGACCCTCCATCTGTGCGGCGGACCGGGTTGCCTTCCACTCTCAGGTGCCTCGGCCACGCGCCAGCGCCTACGGCCCTCCCAAGCTAGGGCCCCGCCCCCAGTGTCCGCTCCACCTTTGTGTCCGCCCCTCACACCCCCGAGACCCCGCCTCCTCGTGCCTACGGAACCCCAAGAGGACAAACAGTCCCTGTCCTGCTCGCGCGAGACTTGGGCAAGGCCGGGGGTGGGTGGGAAGGGATCCGAGACACAACAAACATGGCGGCGGCTGCGAGGGTGACGAACACGGTGGCTGCGGCGACGGCAGCGGCGTTGAACCAGGCGGTGGGAGTTACTCGGAGCGGTTGTCAGGAGGGAAATAGCAGGCTGCAGACTCGGGGGGGGGGGAGCACGGCCGGG